TAAACATATACATAAACATATACATAAACATATACATAAACGTAAACGTAAACATAAACATAAACATATACATAAACATATACATAAACATAAACATAAACATAAACATATACATAAACATAAACATAAACATATACATATACATAAACATAAACATAAACATATACATAAACATATACATAAACATCTACATAAACATAAACATAAACATAAACATATACATAAACATAAACGTAAACGTAAACGTAAACATAAACATATACATAAACATATACATAAACGTAAACGTAAACATAAACATAAACATATACATAAACATATACATAAACATAAACATAAACCTAAACATATACATAAACATAAACATAAACATATACATATACATAAACATAAACATAAACATATACATATACATAAACATAAACGTAAACGTAAACTTTAGTTTATGAATATTGTGTTTCAGTTTGCGTACTTCCTCTGAGCGGGGCTTGCAGGCTCAACAATGAAATGTCTTACTTTTGCTGAACAGCCTCAGTTTAGGAAAACCCAGATTCTCTCTGATTGGATCGATACGCTAACTGCTAGTCACAGGAATTCTGTCCTCTTAAAATGACGCTAAACTTAAAAACTTCATGAGGATTCATGCAAACTCTTTTCTATGAACTTTAGGGCTGCAGCATCGAATCGATAAAACTCTATGAAGAAATGTGTACGCAGCGCTTTTGTCATCGATTCGTTGTGCTGTGCAACTTTTATGTAACGGTCGATGCGCGCAGCTCATCTGATGCGGTAGCAGAGCAGACCGAGGCAGCTCACAACGACACACACACACACACACGTCGCAAGTGTGATTATTGTGTAAGGAAGAGGCCTTTTACCGGCACACACCGAGCTTCTCTAGGTGCTGTTGAGTAAAGCAGAGACACCAGCGCGGACTCAGTCCAGAGTTTGGTATCAAAAAGCAGATTAGCTCATGCTAGCAGCTAGCAAGCTCACGATCAAGCGGGTTCAGAAAACACACGATGGTGGTGAAACTAAGAAAGTCTCCATCATCGTCGGGTTCATTAGCTGCAGCGCTAACTGCTGCAGTCAGGTTACTGTTGGTCTGCTCCGCCCAACACCGCCGAAGGCAAGCCACTGTAGCATTTAATTCACAAACGCGTCTCTCTGTGAACATAGTTTAAACTGGGTCATTGCTAACCCGTACATAATAGATATGCATTTCCAGTAGCTTACCACTGAACATGTTAATGAAATACATTCAACTTTACTGATCATAGCTTAATCGGGGACATATTCAGGCGATAGCGTGTTGTTTTACACGCTACGAACTGTTTCCTGATCATGTTCTGTTGTTAACGTGAAGGAAGGAGACAACATGTGTCCCCGGCAATGTTTACATTTGAAAAAAGACGAATGCATTTATTTTTTTCCTGATCAGGATCTTTTGCCTTCGGGTCCAAATCATTAGCTTGTGAGAAGCTGCTGCTGCGGCGTATCGAACCGATCCTTCAGCAAAGAAAGCCAAGAAACAGATGTTTATGTTTATTTATTTGGCAGATGCTTTTATCCAAAGCGACTTACAATTTATACCCTATAGGGCGTGTTGTGATCTGTGGGGGAAACCGGAGTACCCGGAGGAAACCCACGCATGCATGGGGAGAACACGCAACTCCACGCAGAAAGGCGAGTTTTGAACCTGCGACCTTCGTGCTGCGAGGCAACAGTGCTAACCACTGCGCCACCATGCAGCCCTCACACAGATCCAGGACGTTTCTTGTTTTTATTTAACTGACTTGGTTTTAACGTTTAACACCTCCGTTAACAAACAGAGCACAGCCATGTTCTGCTGTTAAAGTAACGGAAGGAGAGAAAATGTTTTATTTCCCAGTTTAATCGGATGAATCCAGTCGAGACCCCATCCGGTTCCTCCGTGACCCAGATGACCGGTTGTTGCAGCCCTAACAGACATCTGGACTGCTGACATGTCCTGCATGTGATGTCCTACAGCAGCAGCTCAGGAGCTAGAGCGGGGTGTCCAGTAATCAGACGGTCGCAGGTTCGATCCCGGCTCTGAGCAGAGGATTCTGCTGTTGTGTCCTTGGGCAAGACACTTAACCTGCTGGTGGTGGTCGGAGGGACCGGTGGCGTGAGAGCTCAGCAGTGCGCCTCAGGGCAGCTGTGGCTGCGTCGTAGCTCATCACCACCAGTGTGTGGATGGGTGAACGACTGATGGTGTTGTAAAGCACCTTGGGGGGTTGTTGAACCCTAAGAAGCTCTATACAAATACAGGCATTTACCACCCTAACCACATTACATCAGATAGCTGCCGTCCAATCACATGCTGTCCCGGTCCTCTGCTGACCGGGACGGTCCCTGCAGCGCCGTGGGGCGGAGTCAGGGCTGGTGAGTTCATAACTTCTTACAGAACCTCAAAAAGCACAAAATCCTCCCGATGGCGACGCTGGAGGATAACTAACCTCCGCTGATTTTGAGTCATGCTGCAGGAATCTGCCTCACACACGCTGACATGAGTCATGTTGGGTTTTCATGGCGAGGCGTGGCTCTGGAGTGTTGCTGCTGCAGCGCTCATCGACCGGAGCGACGGTAGGAGACCAGCTCCCCCGAGCAGGCCTCAGCCTCCGCACAGACTGCCTTCCTGCTCCAGCTGACGGTGGCTTCCACGAACGCCAGTGGAGACTTGAGGAAATGCCTGCATGACCAAAGTGCTGCCACAGTGGAAAAGTGGGCGTGTCAGTGTCCAGAGGACACGGAGCATCTCCATATTTGGTGTGTGAGCTGAAGAGAAGGCTTCCCTCCAGGCCTGCTGCCTTTTTGTCTTTTGTTTCATGTTCAGTGCCAGCGTGGACACACACCATCACCACCACTGTGTGTGTGTGTGTGTGTGTGTGTGTGAACCATGTTAGAGATGCTGCAGTCTGACACATCCCCAGACCCAGACCTTCACTTGATCTGCAGCGTTTTCTGTGGCACTTCCTCCTCTCACCAGCTTCCTGACTCATCTTCTCCACCATCTGAGTCTCTCTATCGTCCTCTTTCTCTCTCTCCTTCTGTTCTCCCCTCGTTCCTCGGCTGCTCCGCTGGCGTTTGCTGCCCACATGGCTTACATTCTTCAGCTCTGACATCACAGCTGCACTGTAGTGCCTTACTTCTCCTGTCTCACTGCCTTTCTGCTCTGGATCAAGGCGCTGGGCGTCACCCCAGATGAAACGCCTGGAGAAAGTGCGAGCCTGTCGTTTCAGAAGGACCGTGCGTAAGGATGACAGAAGTGGTTTCTAAGTGAAACGAGGTCTGGTTCATGTGCGGGTCTTGGTTGGAGGAGAGACATGCGGTGCAGTGAGGACGTTTATGGTTCATGGTTCTGGCATTTGTTCACGTTGACTCCTCAGTCACAGCTAAACACTGACAGCTGTAGTCAGCATTGAGGAAAGGTCAAAGTTCAAGTGGTAGTTGCTGTTTGGGTCTGACTTGTAGAAGTTCTGCCTACAGGACCGGCTTTGTTGTGGCCACAGAAACTCAAGGAGGAGTGTTGAAAGAAAGAAACCCTCTCTGGCCCTTGGAGGACACAGGAAGTGCACTGGCGCGGAGTCGAGTGTGAACTCCGTCTGAAAGGGAACGCCAGGATTGACAAATCTTTCCGGTTAGCTTCAGTGACAAAAGTACTTCTCTTTCGTTTTTGTCTTCTGTCATTAAGTACTGCACGTGTGTGTGTGTGTGTGTGTGTGTGTGTGTGTGTGTGTGTGTGTGTGTGTGTGTGTGTGTGTATGTGTATGTGTGTGTGTGTGTGTGTGTGTGTGTGTGTGTATGTGTGTGTGTGTGTGTGTGTGTGAGTGTGTGCGAGTGTGTGTGTGTGTGTGTGTGTGTGTGTGTGTGTATGTGTGTGTGTGTGTGTGTGTGTGTGTGTGTGTGTGTGTGTGCGTGAGTGTGTGCGAGTGTGTGTGTGTGTGTGTGTGTGTGTGTGTGCGTGAGTGTGTGCGAGTGTGTGTGTGTGTGTGTATGTGTGTGTGTGTGTGTGTGTGTGTGTGTGTGTGTGTGTGTGTGTGTGTGTGTGTGCGTGAGTGTGTGCGAGTGTGTGTGTGTGTGTGTGTGTGTGTGTGTGTGTGTATGTGTGTGTGTGTGTGTGTGTGTGTGTGTGTGTGTGTGTGTGTGTGTGTGTGTGTGTGTGTGTGTGTGTGTGTGTGTGTGTGGGTGTGGACACAGGGTGCACCAAGGGGAAAATTTGGTATTTGCTTTCCCACGGAGCGAGGAGCCCACTCCTGTGCCAAGAAGCGCTTGGATGAAAGTTTTGGATGTTTCAGTTTAACCCTCTCAGGCTCAGAATACGTTCTGGTAAAAGGACGAACAGCTGAGTCCTCCAGGGGAACTTCTGAGTTAAACGTGCTCATGAAACACGTGCGTGGAGTAACCAGGTAGGTTCAACGTTGCTAATCTGCAACGCCTGCCTCCAGAGGGTTACAGCGCCGTGTTTCCAGCAACACATCCAAATAGGCTGTAACACACACACACACACACCCAGATAAACCCCATAATGATTAACATCAGTGACTATTGTCTCGTGGACGCAGCTGCAGACGACAGCAGATGTTCTAAAGCTCCGCCCCAGCTCAGATCGCAGGTATAAAACAATATTTATCTTGTTCCCATGGATTTATGCCCCTTGCTGGTGTTTCGTACAGCATGTGATTAAAGATTTATGCTTACGCAACAGGAGTGTGTGTCACCAGGCTGAGAGCCAGGGGAGGTGTGGGGTCAGGGTCAACCTCACCCTCTCACCATGAAAGGGTTAAGGTCTGACAGCTCAGAGCCCCTCCTCTCTTCCAGCTCAGCACATATATGCTGGCTCAGCATGCCTGCAGAAACACACACGCATCAGCGCACGTGCACACGCACAGATTGTGAAACTTTCATGGCCCACTTGTAGACGAATGAATGTTTCGTGTCAGATTGGTTGGATGCTGACCACCTACACCAGAGCGGGTGGGGGGTCCAGATTCTGACCGGGGTGGGAACGTTTCTTTTGGGATACGGCCGCTAGAGAACCCCGCTCAGACTGCTGCCTGCTGCCAGTGAGTGTTCAGATCAGAACTGGTCGTTTTCATGGTTTCTTTAACCTCTGAAACATCCAGGACACCAGCAGGGGGCAGTGTAGAGCGGACTGCTGAGCCTCTCCTTCCTTGTGAAGCAGAATATTCCCTGTTATGATGATATAATGGGAAGGCTGTGATTGTAAAGTTTTGAATTCAGTCCAGCTGACTGCTTGTGAAAAGAGCCTTTGTGCTCGCTGCGGAGGCAACAGGATCCTGTTTCTGTGTTCAGCACCTTGAAGGAAAAGTACAGAAGCATGAATAGAAGACCTCTGACCTTGTGTTTCGCCCGAGCGCTGGAGGAATAACGGACAAACCCTCTGCGCCGTCTCTCGTAGGTCTCTGAAGAGCTGAACTAAAGCCCAGTGGGTGGTTCTCACCACCTCCATCCTGACCGCGTCACGTGTCTCATCACTCCCAGAAAATACGAAAATGGGGCTGAGAGGGCGGGGCAGACGATCGACACCCACCGAACTCTGAGCCGATGTAGCTACGAGCTAACAGAGCTAACAGAAGCTAATGGAGGTTGAGGGACTTTTAGCCAGAACCATAGTTGAGTGATGCTACCCTCTGCTGAGGGCTGAGGCCTTCTAGCGCTAGCGCTGATGGCTCATCTGACACCTGTCCATCAAAAGGACACGCCCATAACCATTCATCATTTCTAGCTTTAATTACATCTAAACATACGGCCTAAAATCAATATCACCATATATTGAGGATTTCACTTCGATAACGATAAATGGACACTAACTACAGCTACACGCAGAAACAAAAGCTGTCCACTAGATGGGGCTGTCACACGGATCATGTTGGTTCACATTTCTACGTGACTGATGGTGGTGCAGCTTCTTAAAGGGACATGAATGTTGCCCACCTACACACATCTGTTCATTTTTATTATCACACTCATTGACGTGGGAAAACGTATCTCGAGAAACGTCAGACATTTCGATAACGACACATTTTCGGTTTATTGCCCAGGCCTATCTAAACATGTGCGTTACAAAACACATGACAGTAAACTAGATCTGTTTAACCTGAGATTGTTCATGAACC